GAGTTTTTCGTGTTACAACTCCCAACGTGTTGAAGGTGTCACGTGGTACCATCTCACACACTGACGTCAAATTGGTAGTCTCGAGTTCTAACTCACGTGCTTTCCCATCTCACCATGCGAGTTGCTACTCACGTTGAGTCGAGCATGTGAGATCGCTACACGAAAGTGAAAATGGCTGACGGATACGCAATTCTTATCGCTATCGAAGAGTTAGAAAGAGCCGAAAGACGTTGTTTGAGAAGGCAACGAATTTTTCGACCACAGTAGATGACATTTCTTTTCGCATCAAGTCAATACTAATAAAAAAATTTTAATTCATAATTGATAAAATTATACAGCAAATTTTTCAAAAATAAAAAGTATCTAAGTAATCGAAAAAGAGTATTAAAATGATAGTAAATTATATGTATAAATTATTAAAAGCATAGACACTATATTAAGATTATTTATTAATCAGAAGTGTTAAGTTCTGATTAATAAATAATAAATAGACAAAACAGTTTAAGAAATAGATCGAGGAAGAAAACTATATGAAGAAAGGATTAAATTAAAATACATTTACATTACATAACGGATTTTTTAGCTCCAACACACGCAATTAATTTTTCAACTAATTTTCTCCACAAAGGGAATTGTCTTTTTCTTGTAAATTTATTGTCGAATTTTCCACTGTTCATTTTATTATTTTCTACGTATGTTATTAATATTTCTTTTTGTTCTTTGCTTATTTTTTAAAATAAAACATTGAACGTTTTCATTTTGTTTCTGCGTACTATATTGCTATAAGACAACTTTTAACTGTAGCACGTGTAAACTAATTCACGTTGATTTGTTCACAACTTGTTACAGTTAAGTTGATTGGTCGATTCATTATAGTCGCAAACCCAGATGCATTGTAAATAATCCCATCATGCTTAACGACACACGCAACCTAGTGAGTATGACGTATTTCCGCTCGCCTTTCGAGTTCGCTCGAAGAGTCTAACTCGAGACTACCAATTATGTGAGTCATAGTAACACGAGTGAGTTCGATGACGTCAGTTCGAGTACAACACGAAAAACTCGAGACTAAGGGCCCAGTTCGAGTACAACACGAAAAACTCGAGACTAAGAGCCCTGGTTACCTCTTTTCGCATTTTAAAGATTCTGCGACTACAGGTTGGGAATCGTTGCATTAGTTACGTTTCTCATATTACGTAACCTTCTAAGATAAGACTTACTCGAGTTACTATTGGATAAACGGCTATCTGTTTTTCGGAAAACAGAAGGTATTTTTCAAAACCCATGAAATAATAATCGAATTATTTTAAAATTAAGAATAATCCTTGGTCCCCGCGTGCTTACTCGCCTTTCAAGTTGAATTACAACGCGAAATAGATTGTTATACAACTCCGTTTAAATAAATATGTGATATGATATAAAGGAAAAAGAATAAATATAAAAGACGACTCGAATATACTCATTGCAAGATGTTTAAAGAGGAAAGGAAAGGACATGTTTTTGAATGATATTCTCATATTTCTTACCTAACAGGTGAAATATTAAGTGAAGATTGTTGTTATAATTTCCTATTGAATCATCATCTACCTCGGTATCTCGACACCCCTTTTAATCGCTCATTTTATTGTAAATATTGTTCTATCTCCTTTGAGTAAGCAAAAGCTAAATCATTTAACATATTGAGCCATATGAATAAAAACAAGCATTATTCTTATGAAAGCCTTTCAGCCGTATGAATAAAACTACGAGCAAAACCTTATGAGCATGAAGCTAATGCCTTAGTAATGAATAAAAGTAAGCATTTACAGTATTTGCCAAATTATTACCCATTGACTAAAATAATACTTTTTCTACTATTTTCTTCTCTTTTTTTCGTAATATTGTTTAATTAAAGAATGAGTGTTTTTATATAACAACAGTGTAAATGTAAACAAATTAAGATTCTACTACAGAAAAGAAAAGTCATAGAGGTTCTTAGTAAGGTACGGCAGCATAGTTCCATTTATGAGAAAAATAA